AGCTGTGGAGCTATGCAGCCCAGGAAATGAGACATGCAGAAAGAGAATGAACAACCGCTTAGTCAGGCCACATGCCTGTTTTTTGACAAATCTTTCTACAGAGTTCAGATATGGGATATTGAGATAATTCTGATGCTCTGAAATCCCCAGGCTTCCTCAGCAGGGTATGGCCTTGACAACTATGCACTCCTGATCCTGATTTTTTTTTTTATTATTATTGCTAATGTCTCTCTTAACTTAGGTCTGGAACAATTTAAGCCAATTTTAGCTTTTTGTTTTGTTTGGCTAATTTTTCTGCTGGTGGAGCATGTTAAAATGGTTCAGCACCAGCTCTAATGACAATCAGGTCTTGCGCAAGGAAAGGAAAGCAGTGAGAGCGCACAACGTGCAGCTGGGAGTGGGGAAAGGACATACAGTTTTAGCTCTCTTGGGAACATCTCAACATTACAGCACTGCTCAGGAAAGCCAATGTACAAAAATATTTGAGGGTTTCTTACTTGCGTTTGGCTTCCCCAAATCAGTCAGAGCTTCAGGATAAACCTTTCTACCCATCCTCTTTGCACTCAGCATATCAGCTACACCAAAAGGATTTTCTGTCTCCAACACTGTTTTATTGAATGGAAACTAAAAAAAAAGTAATTTTGAAATATAGAGAATTTGAGATTTGCAGAGTGAGGCCTAGTGAAAATACAGAACATGAATATCAGCTCTCCTGCTGCTCACTGGGAGCTGCTAAAGTGGGTCATTATTCTCAGTTTCACAACTTCCATTCTCCAGGCTGGCTTCCTGGGTTGTAGGCCTGGTCTCCAGGAGACCCTCCCTCTGGCAGCTCTGAGGCACAGCTGCGTGTCTTCTCCCTGATCTTTACTGGGGCCTCCACATTTCATGTTACATCCTCTGCCTCCTACACCTCTTGGACTAATCTTTCCTGGCTTCCTTGCAGCCCAGTGGCTCCTCATGGCTGCCGTGGACAGCAAGACGTGCACCTTCCAAAAGGAGTCTCGGTGGGATCCTGGGTGCAGCAACTAGAATGGGGTACCAGGAAGCCTCTCACTTTGCTTTCCAGACAAGGTCTGGCCATAAAATGTCCCCTCTGCAGCCTCTAGGCATTGCTGGGGATCCAGGGCTGACAGTTCCTGAAAGGCAGCAAGGCCACCTCTAGGGAATGTCCACTGAAAGAAACTAAAATGATCACCCATGGTCCCTCTGTAGGCTCTGGAAAATATATTACACAGCATATGTAGTGATGTGAACGGGCAAATGATAGAAAAAAAGCTTCCATCTTGCTAGAGATGGCCCTTCCAGAAAAGAAAGATTACTACGAGAACAGCGGTTACTGAAGTGGTGATGTAAAGGAAGCATCAGATGTTTGGATGTAGTTGCATGCTGACATATGATAGCTAGCTGAAGCTATATTTTTGGCAAATATACTGAAGGCGGTGGCTCCATGAGCTGTTCAGCTGATCTAATAACTTGTTGCTGCTGAAAGGAAGAAGTCCCACTTCCGCCTCATTTTCCCATCCCTTGTTTGCAACTGTGTGGTCCTGCCCTGTGCCCTCTGGAGTGCCATGCCAACTCACTCTCCCTCACTGGAACCTCTTACAAGCCATTTAAGCCACAAAACAGTAGAAACTTATAAAACTGTACAAAAACTATGCTCCTTTGGTGATTCATTTCTTGCCATGTGAGTTTGTGGGCTGAATCTACCCATGCAGAGGTTCAGCCAGGCTTAATGCCAGAACAAGCTAAATGGTGGGAGAACCCTTACTAGAGCCCCTCTCCTTAGGGCTATTCTATTTTGATGCAGAAAACCACCAGCTGGCTCAGCTGACAGGGGAACCAGTTTCTAGTGCGCCAGTGACCCCCAAAGTTATAACTTTAGAGAACAGTAGAAGGAAAACAAGGAATTTTATGAATAATAAAGAAAAAAAATCTTTTCTGCATAAGAGAAAGGTGAAGGATTGTCAGACATATCACCACATTACAAAGTGTCCTGCTAAGGGATCAGGAAAGAGAAAGAAACACAGAAGATCGAGTTCCAAGACCAGTATGTGCATTTATTCCAGTAAGTTACCCTGAGAGACCACCTGAAGGGTTTATTATTTTCTTTGGATGGATAGGCAATTCTTGAATAAAATGATTTTGCTAAAAACTTCACACAGAATTGAACAAATAGCTTAGAGTGATCGTATCTGAGCACTATTCTATGGGAGTTAGCAGCACCATACGAAAGAAATGGAAGAAACTCTGAAGTCACAGTGGATGCAGGACTACGTGGCTTAGTACTGATTAATGTACAACACATTCCTTGTTTTCAGGTTTCTGGAATAGTATTATGTTGTTATTAAGGATCATATGTTAATATATATCACCTATATAGTCTGAATAAATAATGAATACTTGAATAATTTAAAAAGCAGATATGGAATGATGTAGGCAAAGACATTGTACCAAATTCTTCATAACACCAGATTTGTAATAACAGCTCTCCTAAAGACATCCACTGCCAAGCTTGAATATACAGTCTGAGTATCTGGAGTGGTGATAGAAAATAATTCTGCGACATCTGCTCATCACAATGATCCTTTTAAAGAGCCTCTGCATTCAGGGATCTCACTAAATAATTAGAGTAGACTATCCCAAGCTTGGTTCTGGATACAATTCAGTTGGCAATGACTGCTTGCCAAGGCAGACACTTTTGCCCATCCCATTCTCAACCTGCTCTAATTCCCTTTATGAGTTTATTATTTAGTGCTGGCTTAGTGCTCAGAGGAGCCCCAAACAGGAAGCGTCTGGGCGTTCTCTGTTCATGAAGTGGGTGGGATGGAGCTCTTTAGAGAAAACAAAATATGATCCGCCTCCAGATCATGTTAGGCCATCTCCTCAACTTCCTCTAAGTAGTACAGAGGCTTCTGTTGCCTTGGTTACTGGAATGATCTACTAGTCAACAGCAGAATCCAAGTCCCCAGACACAACATCCCTCTGCACTTCTGATGGCAGCATAGGATGGGAAATATCCACTTTTCTATTTCTGAGTTAAAAAAAAAAGTTATTTAACACTCCCTCTTAAAAAATATACATATATATATGCAAGGTCGCTGAGGGAGCATTGTCTGGCTGAGGGTTAGAGCTTCCACTGTAGCAACATTCATGGATACTATTTTCCATTTCTTTCTTAACGAAGAAAAGCAATGGAAATTGCATGCTAAACTTGAAAAAGTAAATAGAGAGCATTCAGTTATATTTGTATAGATGGATCTGTCTAAAATCTGTGCTTATCCCAGCTAGAAGTAAAATCATTCTCCTCACCAGAAGTGCAGCTATTGTAGTGGTATCCTCAAATACTGAAGCTGGAAAACATCACCCATCTCCTTCCCCTAAAAGCCAATATCAGGACCAGTCTTCTGGATTTGAAAACAATAATTTCAGAGTGGTGATACCTGGTTGATAAAGTACACTGAAACAATCATTGTCCAAAACAAAAAAAAAATTGTCCAAAACAATGAAAGTATAGGGTCCCAAAAAAGGGAGATTGATTCTCCTCTTTCTAGGAATGGTGTAATATGGAGCGACAATTGCATGATAACCAAAATGTCCCTAAGTTTGTGTTGCCACATGCTCGCTTACTCTGGTAATCATTCTTCTGATCCCAGAGTAGCACCCAGATCCTGTTCACTGATAACTAAATGGCTACTCATGTACGTTTCTGTGAGCTTAACTCCATGAGCCAAGAGTGGAGCAGGATCAACACCTGTGCAAGAGCAAGGAAGGGTTCAGGTGTGCCTGGTGGGACAGGGAAGCAGCTTCACGCCGCCGTGGTCCCGGAGAATCCAAATCTGAGAGTAACACCATGGAAAGACTTAGGAAGAAAATAAATCCTTTTTATTTTTTATTTTTTTTTGAGAACTTTTGTTGGCTCTGTGGAGATCTAGTTAGAATGCTGCAGTTTTGTGTGCTTTTGGTGAATTTGAAATTTCTATTAAGATTAATTCAGGTTTTAGAACTTGGAACAAAACATTTATAAGAACCTCAAATTATTGTAAATTAACATTAATTTTTTAAGAACATTTTAATAGGTTTATTAAAAAATATTTTTTATCTATGCCGTTGACACTAGTATAGGGTATGTATATTAAGAGAAAGCCAAAATGTAGTCTATATTTCACCTTAAGTGCCATTCTTAAAAACTGGCAATTTGCTCAACTAGCATAAAATATCTTTATTTAAACTTCCAGTAAATTTCTGACATTCACGCACTGTCGCAGTTATACTATTCAAGCTGCAGAATACTGATTATGTCTAAAAGAAAGCTGGCCGTTCTTTAAATTTCAACATTTTTAATGCAAAAATCACACACAATGATGTAAAAAATAGATTAATTATTTTAATGGCAATTTCTTTTTGTTTTCTGAAGAACAGTTTTAGCTCAAATTACCTGCCACAGTTCCTTTCAGAAAAGGAAAGGGTAGCAAGCTTTTTTAATTTAATGACTGTCGGGATTTAAAGAGTGGCGAGTTCCTTTACAGCAGGATTTACAGTCCATTTCTTCTGCAGAGACCGTAAGTTGAACTGAGAGTTTCTCAGATGAAGGCTTTGTGGGGACATTGTGTTATTTTATTTCTGCCTAATCTGTTTTATCACAATGCTTATTATTTTTACTAATGCCAAACATATCAAGTGTGATTGACAAATATTTGACAGGGAAATGGCTGCTTCTGAGCTTCAGAGTTAAGGCAGGGGTGTACAGAGCCTGTCCGTATCCCCACTGCATTTTCTGTGAGTAACTGGCATCCAGTTATTTTCACTGTCCCTTTATATTTGCTGAGCTTTCAGTCCCTTCTGCGGGACAGCATGAGAGCTGGCTTCTATCTACGCCACTCCTGCTTCAGCATTGCCCTGACTCCCAGCCACGAAACAGCGGTACAAGTGACACCCTCGGTTCCCCCAGAGCGGGGATAAGGGCTAAAGTCCCTCGGGCAGCGCAGGCCGCGCTGCGCGCTGCGGGGCCATGGCGAGCGGCACGCTGCAGCTGCGCGCGCTGCTCTACGCGGTGCTGCCGCGCGAGAGCTCCTTCCGCACGCTGCACGAGGTGCCCGACTACGTGGAGAAGGTGAGCGGAGATCCCGCGCCGCCCCGCGCCCTTCCCCGCTGCCTCGTGGCCCTTGGAAATGAGAAAATAGGGTTGTGAAGCCTGTCTTCTCTTCCCCATTTATTGCTGCTTGTGGGACTGCGAGGTTTATGTGTTTGGTTTTTTTTGTATTTAAAGCCTTCTCCGGGTACCGGTAGCTGGGGTCTGCAGGTGAGCTCTCCAATAATGGAGCACTGATGATAATGGTCTCAATTGGCAGTGCTGCTGTATGAAATGACAGCAAAGTGTGCTGCATAACACCCTGCGTAATGCAGATTTATGCTGTTCAGCATAAAAAATGCAAGGTTCTACCTCTCAGTTCTGAAAGCATGCAAAAATTGTCTTTTTTCTCTCTTTTTCTCTTTCCTTCTCTCTTTTTCTTTCCTTCTTTCTTTCTTTCTTTCTTTCTTTCTTTCTTTCTTTCTTTCTTTCTTTCTTTCTTTCTTTCTTTCTTTCTTTCTTTCTTTCTTTCTTTCGTTTATTCGTTCGTTTGTTTGTTCAAGAGAAGGAGAACAAATATTGTTAGTGAGGCAATGCAGTCTTCGAGAGCTCGGAGCCAAGAGTACAGAGGTCAGGCATGAGAAATGAGAAATCATTTGATTGCAGCCTGTCAGGAGGCAGTGACACATTCCTCCCTCTTCCCTCCCTGCCGACTTATTCAGCCCTATGGCGGTACCTTTGCTCCCTTCTCTGCTACTGATCCTGGCCTGTAGCGCTCACTTTGCCCAGAGCCAGTGGGAGTTTTGCACGGGGACCACAGATAAGTTCTCTCTCACCCTCATTAAAGGCGGATTCAGTCAAGTTCTTGCTGATCCACAGATGCATTCACAGGTCCTGATAGCTCGTGCTGGCTCCGGTAAACTCTGACTTACTGCACAGAGGCTGCAAACAGGCAGTGGTGGCATATCATAAATACGTTGGGCAGAGAAGTACAGCAGAGTGAGCAGCTTTCTAGGAACAACTTTTCTAGGAACCAGTGTGCAGTAGCCCATTGGTGGCAGCTTTTATCAGCAAACATTGCCCTTCTGGATAGGGTAAGGAGAGCACTGCTGCAAATCCAGCTGCTCTGCACAGGGGCTGTCCATGGGCTGCTTTCCTCTCCAGCGTTTCGCAGCTAAGCTTTAGCGCAGTGGTCCCATGAATTTGCCTGTGGGTGAAAATATTGCCTACTCAGCTGATCTCTCTCCATCTCTACCTAATTGAAATCCCTTTTACTGCACTCCCATTCCCACCTGAGTCTGCTTCCTTGGAAACTGCTTTCCAGCAGTTTTCATCAATAACCCTGGGCTTTCTTCTGCTGTATGGACTCCTATGAATGTTCAGCTCAGACCTTGGTCACACCTCGAATTTTCCTGCTCCTGGGCACATAGACTGGATTCATAACTGATGAAGTTTGGTGAAGGAATCTTGATCCTGCTTCAGCAGGGATTCAGCAAGGATAGATGCGGATTAATAGTATTGTTCAAGGAGAGCTTGGAGTGATAACTCCTGTTGCTGCAGCTGGAAGTAGGGTGGCTGTCTGAGCTCAGGCCAATGTAGGAGGAAAGTTTCTAGTGTAGAGTTGCTGGTAACAAGTGGTAGGCCTCAGCTCATATTAAAAACAGTGTTGGTGACATGGAGGTCATACAAGCTACTGATCAAACTAGTAGTTCCTGAACATTTATTCTCCTGAACTACCATATAGAAGTGATATTGGGACAATGATTATTCCAGAGCTTCAGGTTCTTTCATATCTTCCAGAAAGATGAAGGCAAATCTCATAGCTACAGTTTCAGAGGGTGGCACCTCCTAATTCACTCAAATATTCAGATAGTCCTGATATGGCCGATTGACTACTTGTGGCTAGCAACAAAGTTCTGCAGCCATGCCCAGAGAAAAATGGGTCCAGGTGGTCTTCAAAACCCATGGAAGTGGGGTTCAAATCCAGGACCATAATAAGGGAATTCATTTTTCATGTGAACTTTTGAAGTGTATAGTTTGAAAACTGTAAATTTCCTTTTGTTTTGGATACAGAAAGAAAGTGTAAGTCAATTTTCTTTTTTTGTGGCAGTACATCCAGACTGTTACAATATATCACGATACTTACCTTGTGCTTCCATGATGATCTTCTCTGCTATCTATATAAGAAGTTTATAGTCTGCATTCTCAGTTTCTTAGGATCTCTCTTCAAAACAGGCAGATCTAGTGCTTTTCTTTGTGTGCTAAATATAGTTTTCAGAAGAAGTAGTAACTTTGTTTTTGTTATATACCACTCGGGCTGCTTTAAGGCCTTTCTGTAGTTTAACTCAAAAGTCAACAGCACATCTCAATTTTTCATAATCCTTGTGCTGAAAGCCCCAAAATGAAAGCATTAATTTAATAATCACTGTTTTTCTTTTCTATTTACTCTTTGCTTTTTAGAATCCACAGATTAAGTTCACATTTACACTCAGTTCACATTTTTAGGTTTCACTCCTAAATAATGAGACGCAGAACTCTCATTCTGTTTTACATGAAAGTTGAGATTCTTATGTTATAAGGACCTGGGACTTTAAGAAAACAAACTATTTCAAGAGTTACCATAAAGTCATGAATTTATGCTGACTAAGTTTTCAACTTAATTTTTTTGCAACTGTATAAAGTAAAGGCTGATTTTAATTGGTCCTTTGCCTTCCATAAAAATCGATTACTTGTGTATAACGAAAACCTTCCCATTTGGTGTTCAGAATAAGACTTTCAAGTTACAGATCAGTAGTTCAAATAAATGACAAAAACTAATCCAAATTCCCCTTCAGTATTTACGGCGATGGGTGAAGAGAAGGAAATTACAAACAGAGAGCAAGAGAGTAAAACATTATAGAATGGAAAGGGGTCAGCCTCTGTGCCTGTTCTGTGAAGCCAACACCATCTTTTCCTTAACTTTGTGTTTTCTCCCACTTTATTTGCAGGGACACTTCTTGAGAAGTTTTTAAGAGCTACATATCTTCTCAGGTCTCTTAAATAACTAACTTGCTAAGTAATGACAAGTCTACTGAAGACTATTTCGTGTCTAGCTGACTGTCTCCTTTTTTTTTCCCTGCATTACCTGCATTATCCTTCTGCACTCATTGTATCTCCTGCTTAGACACAGCTGTTTGGGGCAGGAAATACCTTTTCCTTCTGTTTGTGCAGCAGCTAGCATGGATGGATTGTGATTCATGACTTAAGCTCTTAGGTATTATGGCCATACAAATTATACATACTAGGCTAATATATAGTTAGTCAATCATTTGTCTTCTTTGGTGGTAGTTAATCATTGATCTTCTGTGGAAATAGCCTTTTGTCGGGGCACAGGAGAGAGGTAGTAATTTCTTAGACACTAAGAAGTATTCTACAAATGATTCCTTTTGTGAACTCCTTGGTGGGCAGGAGGTTGATGATATCTGAGTGTTTCTCTGCCCTCGTTGTTGCAGCGCTCCCAAGCTGTGAGTCAAAAAGCTTAATCAAGTGCTTGGTTGTCTTACTGCTTCATGGTGGGAAAAAAAAAAAAAAAACGAAGAAAGCTGTATGTGTTAGTATAAAGTCAAGCATATTAACTGTTTCAGATATTGCTAGGCATCATATACTTCCTATTCACTATTTTGGATTTCTAAGTAAAGGAATCCAGCTGGTGTCCTGCCCTGAGCCTGCAATTTGCAGTGGAGCTTCTGCTGCTCCATAACTTCAAACTACCTATAGTCTGTATTGTATCATAGTTACTTGATCTTGAAAGAGACACGTGTTATGAACCCGATTGAAACAGCTCCACTGAGTTCTCTGATAAAAGATGTTACCCAATTGAACTGTTTCTATTTGTAGCAGAAAGCATGGGAACAGAAATGCCAGGGAGAAAGAAATTTAACAACTCAATTTAATATATCTTTCAGATACTGTTATTGGATGTCAAATTCAGTGGCTGAATAAGTTTAAAAACAACATACTTTTCAACTCGAAAGATTCTATTTTACCTCGCTGTTGGAGATGTTCACAAAAGCTGCTGCTCCCTCAGATTTACTTGAGTATGAGAATTTATATTATTTTTACATACATAAACATGGTAGAGGGTGAGGTTAATGTACCAGGGTTTATGCTAGTAGTATAAATTAGATGGAAGCTTTGGTTGTTCTCATTCATAATGTCCATAAGGTGCTTTACTGCATTTATGAGCATGTAATACAGCACTAGGAGGGTGCCAGCCAAGCTGAGAAATATTGAGCTGCAAAACCATTATTTGGAAATGTATGCAATTCTATTAGCATGGTGACTTCTTTTCTTCACATTCTTTTTCAGAGTATTCCATTCTTCATTGGTTTTATAGCACTGGAGTTTGCTGTCAGTTGGGTTCAGAGGCGGAAGCTGGCAGGTCGGATCAATGATGGCATAAGTTCTCTGTCTTTAGGGATCCTGTCTCGACTGCCAGAGTAAGTAAAAATATTGTATTAATCTAAGGTTGTTTTTGATCACTAAGAGGGAAGAATTATGTTTAAAATTATTATTGCTAATCTACAGTGATTACACAAAGTTTAATGGTGGATTTTACTTTGCTAGAATGAATTTGCATAAAGAGCATAAGTGTCTTTCTGATCTGAAAGATTAAATATGATGCTTGAAGGATAGTTTCCAACTTCATTTGTAAATATCTTGTTTGTCGCCTTTTGCTGATTTTGGAACTTCAGTTGACTTGGCTGTGCTTTCTGCTAGACCCATATGTTGAAGTCTGAGTTTTCTTTCATTAACTTTCAGAAAACATGTCCATTATTTTCATTAGCATTTAAAAATAAAATTATCAGAATGTAATTGGACAGATGATAGAATTGTGAATATGCACGTGGTCTAAAGTTCTTTGAATTCAGCCACAATCTGGTGTGGAATAATCTTCAGTGGAATCAGAGTGTCTGAAAGAAATATGAAGATCATCTGATCTTCTCCCCTGCACAGACATCATAGGAATTGTGAGAGCCATATCTTATGGGTAAAAGGAATTATATGTTTAAAAAATATCCAGTAATAAGGGATCCAGCCAAGACTCTAGATAATTGCTCTAGCTGATAATTGCTTTTAATGAAGATCCTGAAGATCTGCATTTGCCTGATGTGAGCTTCCAGACAGAGGATGTTACTACAGCCACTTAAGAAGTTAGCTAGATATATAGTAAGGGTGTTACTTAGATACAATCTCCCAAACTATTTATATATCTTCAAATAAGAGACATAAACTTCCATCATGAGAAATTCTCAAAAATAATGTCTACGTTTTTTGAGAACATTTTTTCACGAAGCTGTTTTTGCAACTAGTGAACAGCCTATATTCAAATTATTTTGAAAACTTTCTTATAGTGTATGACTTATGAAAAAAAATGATCTTGAGGGAGAAACATTTATTACTATATAAAAATACAACAAAAATAAATATAGTACATTAGATTTGTGTGCGCCATAGCTTTTCACTTCTGAAGGCTTACTTAAATTTTCATGCAGCTAAAATTGGAATTATTCAAATGTGATTTCTTCAACAACTGAGTTTTCTAGAGAATGTGTACTTCACAGGTTTCCATGTTAACCAGATTGGAAATATCCATGACTTATGAAACTAAACAGGGGGACCAAGATGTGTGTTAGGAAGTTTGAATGGCTTTGTGAAGGTCTCTCTCTCATTTTTGTTTTAGGAATACTAAAATGTTTCAGACATATTAATTCCTGGAAGAAGTGCTGTTAGGGAAGCTAATGTTTCATGCATGGAGCTCTGCTTTGCAAGGTGCTGAGTGCCTTTAGTATTGTGTCAGTCAGTACTTTTCTGCAGAATTTGGCTTGCAGACTATGTATTTTTTGCCAGACTGTTTCAATAGTGAAGTGATATTTAAGGGCAGAGACCTTGCTGCATCAGGATCCATAGACTTATCCATTGGATAGAGCAGCACAAGGATTTTCATCCAGGTCACTTGTTCTGCTGCCTCATGGCGGAAACACAAGACCCTTTTCAGCTGTTTTTTTTTTCTTGAATAAGAATTCTGATAAAAAACTTTTAAATTTCTGACCAAAAGTGAAAGAAAGAGGCAAAATACAAATTTTCTGAGTAATTTATTTATATGTTAATTCCAGAATTATAACAATGACTGTTTAGCATAACACCTCTTTTACAAGTAAGAGAAGTTATACTCTTCTGGCTAATAGATTGGCTAAAGAGCCTTGAACTGAAAAAATAGAACCTTTTATCCTTCTGTCTTTTTCTGTTTCCATGGCATGAAAGAACTGGGTCAGAAAAAGAAAGAAAGGGTGAAAAAAGCACAAGAAGAATCTGTTGCTGAGATTTTCACTTCAGTCTTTCCTTTTCAGCCAGAAAAAAAGGTAGGGAAATCTGACAGAAACTGCTAAAACAATATTTCAGCAGAACCCACAGCATCAGGGGAAATAGTAGTGCAAATCATTAACAGCTGAAGGTTAGATTAACACACCATTGATTGTATCCTCTCCCAGGGACTAATTTTCATTTTCTCAACTAGCAGCAATGGTTTGCCACTTCCTTAAAAAATCTGTGGTTGAATCTAAAATGGTGAGCTTCAGTCTATTAGTTAGAATGAAGCTTCAGATGCATCACTGCAAAGAGATTTTACATTCAATGAAAAAATCAGAAGTTACAGACTATATTCATGGTCTGAATATAGTTTTTTTTTTTTTTCCATTTCTCAGTCACTATAACAGAAGTGCCACATATCTTGAAGGAAAACAGGATTTATTCAGTATTTCTTACTTCTCTGGCGGAACAACCACAAACTATAAATTGATACTCACATGCCAAATATTAAAAGTGTAGGTGTGAGAGGTCTAATCAGACCTGATAATATGTTTTGTTTTTAAGCTATCAGACTCAAGAGTTGTAGTAAGCAGAGTTGCTTTTTGTGTTCATAACACTTCTTGTAAAATAAGCCATGTACTACCTAAATACATTTTTCTCTGCCTACGTGCATACTATGCATTCCTATGCATGTATTAATACTAAATTTTATATGCAATGAAAAGTAATTTTGGGGAAGGGTAGAAATTTGAATTACTGAGCTTGCTCCCAGCATCCTAAATGTTGGTGGTTAAAAAAATTCTGAGAACTGTTATTCAAAATAAATAGATAAATTTTCTGACTAACCATTGCCAGGAGGTTTGAAATGCTGCTTTAAAAATATTCTCCCAAGAGAAAGTTTATTTCGGGTATAAATATCCACTCTACAAATATGTGCATTATTTCATACCGGTCCATTTCTTCTTTTAAAGCAGCAGAACATAAATCAAATCAAAATGTGTTTGGGGGATAACTGAGGTAGGTACATTTTCAAACTAGCTGGGAAATTCTCCGTTCTTTACGGTCATGCTCAATTGCTGATTTTTAGTGTTCAGCTCTGCATCACGTAGCCATTCTGTGTGTATGAGTGCATTTATGTGACTAACAGTTTTACCAATGGACTTCTCCACTTCTAACGAGGACACAGAGTTTTTAGTTCTTCTTTACTTTGTTTTGAAACAGAGGACATCAAAGTTCTCTGAAGCATTGCTGAACATCAGAAAAGGAAGGGGAAGATGTCTTTTTATCATACTATTATGCATTTCAGGAAATTTGCACATCAGTAAAATTTAGTTAACAGAAAAAAAAGAAAGAGGTTTTATACTGTTTTGGTAATATTCAGAGAGGTTTTCAGTTTTGTACATAACCCAGCTTCTTTTTTTTTTCCCCCAGAAGTGAGAGTGAAGGGACAATTTCATGTACCTTCTAGGACAGCAGTGCTACAGAAAAGAGAAAGAGTCTTGCCTAATGTGTGTCTGTAGCTGCTCATTGCCACCTCTGCACCTTCTCTCCCCTTTTGCCAGCATAAGCACTTGTGCCTCCTGAAGGTACCCTGGCCCAGGAAACTGGTCTGGATTAACCTCAGCCTTCCCTTGTCCCCTCCAAATCATGTTAAACTGCATCAGTTCTCACCATGGCTGCATGAGGACTTGGAACAGAACAAGAAATGGGCACGGAAAAAGTGGTCAAGGTTGCAGGATAGGAAATACTTGCTTCGTTTTAGCATTACAGAATTATCCAGTTTAAAACGTAGGTAAAATAGCAGTCTGAAACCCAAAGCTTACACTTTGCATTTGCAACAGTATACTGAATTGATGAGTCCTTTCTGTTCAAACTGGCATAAACTGTTCATACCTCTGAAAAGCCTGTCTTGCTCTGGCAGAACACAAAATACTTGTCTGTATAGATACTTCCATTTAAAGCATGCCTTGTTTCCTGAAGTATTTCATAGATACTTCACTACAAGTATGACTGTAGAAAATATAATATCATAAATTAGTTGCTATTCCTCTTAGAAGAAAACTTGATAGAGGCAATTTCTCATAAATTATATTTTCACTTCAAGACTTACTAGCCACATTTTTTCCTCCACATCTGTTTGACTAAGGCTTTGGACAGATGTTTACTTAGAGCATGGTCAGATGTATTGCTCCTGATTCAGCTGCCCCCTTAGATCTGCCAACATAACTGCACATTTAATTGCTCCCTAACCTGATCCTGACAAAGTGATCCAGCTAAAAGCAGAAACAAAAGCCCCCCAAGAACTATAAAAGAGGTGTTTAAGCTCAGCTGCATTCGTTCTGACAGAACCAGGTCAGGGAGCAGCCATGCACGCAATTATGCTGGCAGGTCTGCGGGCTGGTAACCACCAGACTAGGGCAGTGATGAGCAGATGGGACCGAACTGGAAAGGTAATCACTTGGCTGGGAGAAACTGCAGCTCGGGCTGGGTGAGCATGCCCCTAAACCAGTCTGACTTCTGGCTGCTGCAGCTCTGTCCTCCCTGCTCTTCCTTATGCAGTCCTCCCCTTCTCTTGTGCTGGTTCAGGTGCTCATCTGATTCGGTCCTGAAGTATTTCTGTTCACTAGGAGCAAAAAAGTAGTTGTATTCAGCTTGAGGAGAGCAAAGTGAGTGGGAATGCAGTGCAGTGGAGCTGTGGTTGTGACCATGCCCTTAGTAGGTAGCTGTTGCAACTTGAGATCTCATGTGTCACTAGGAGTTTCCAATAAAATAGGATTTTGTTAGGTAACAAGGCCGAAGAAACAGAATCTATTCGCCTCCCCAACCATCCCACTCTTCCATCAGCGCAGCTCGGTTACACAGTTCATCACAGCACCGTCGTGGCTGCTTGTCCTGTAGATGCTGCTAGCTGTAGATACTGCCGCCTTTGCCAAGATTACAATCCTTAGAGCTCTGTCAGAAAAACAGGTTTTGAAAGAATTTGCTAATTTTCTTGAGGAAAAGTAAGATATAGGATAGGTAGTCAGGCAGCGTTGTGCAGCAGGAAATGGCAGCATTTTCAGGAAGGAAACCTTGCCCTGGAAGAGGACAGATTCACCTCTCAAATATTTTTCAAAACAGTTAGGTTCAT